TTGGNAGTGGTCGTAGCTATACCCTTCTTGAGCTAATGCATCCTAAAATCATGTAAGAATACGAGAACACATTATGTCCATTCCTTTAAGTTGGCAATATAAATCTGCACATTTTCTGTCTTGAGAGACCATAATTATTTGTTATTGTCGAGTATATTTTTAGAGCATGAATTATACTTTGTGCTAACATATTTTTATTTTTATTTTTTGTTTTGCTTTAGTCTGGTTCATAACCACTTTCAGTATATATAGCCATCCAAGCCTTTTTTCTCTACTTATGTATGTGTACAAGTTTGTTAAATATTGTATAATTTTTTCAAGATATTTAGTGTTGTTTCGGACGTTTTGGGAGCTCTATAAATTGCATATTATGAGCTAAATTGTTGTATTTGCCAGCTTTGGGAGTTTGGAAATTTTTAAGAAGGCGAATGTTGGTTGGTGCCTGTTGTTTTGATTTTTTTAGTCACTCTAGACTAATGAGGAACATCATGAAATCATAAGGAAACAAATGGCAAAAGCAACTCTATGTTCCCGTCACATTTTGTAACTGCCTTTTAAGAACTCTTATTTGAAAAAAGGAGGGAAGAAGGGTGGGGTAAAGGATATTTTTTTAGTAATTACAACAAATTAGGTGGTTAGTTTGGCCATTCTAGGCATTAACTGAGTGCAAAGGTGAGTGAATATTAGAAAAAATTATCTCAGTTTTGAATGTGCTTTAGGAGAATAGTTGCATGAGGTATATACCTTCCATACAATAATTTCCTTTGATCTTATTCGTATATCATCCAAATTAGGGTGTAACCTGTGCATATTGATCAGTTAAAAAAATTATGCTTATTGATTAAAATAGAATCCTTCATCAATCTTTTATGTGATTAAGCTTTGGGTTACAACATACTGGTCGAGGATCAGCAATGCAAACCTATCAAGGGCACTTTTGTGTTAATGATGGGTCACAATATCTATTAGTCCCCTTGCAACACTTGGCAGACATATTGCACAAATTAAGGACCTGACATGGCGTAGGACATGCCAACATAGCAAATTCAAGGGAANCAACATACTGGTCGAGGATCAGCAATGCAAACCTATCAAGGGCACTTTGTGTTAATGATGGGTCACAATATCTATTAGTCCCCTTGCAACACTTGGCAGACATATTGCACAAATTAAGGACCTGACATGGCGTAGGACATGCCAACATAGCAAATTCAAGGGAAAAAAAGAAGAAAGAAAATATGAAAAAGAAAAAGAAATAGATTGACAATGTATCTTTATGTTTATGCCTATATACGTAGATTTATGTTTTATGCATAGATATAGACATGGATGTTTACAATAAAGTGCATGCTCGTATCTATGCATTTACTTAAACATATATTGTGCATTAGTTAACGACTATTTGTGTGGAACTTATGGATATTTTTTAGATTAAATTATAGAAAGTTGAAGAATTTTTNCATGAAAAAGAAAAAGAAATAGATTGACAATGCATCTTTATGTTTATGCCTATATACGTAGATTTATGTTTTATGCATAGATATAGACATGGATGTTTACAATAAAGTGCATGCTTGTATCTATGCATTTACTTAAACATATATTGTGCATTAGTTAACGACTATTTGTGTGGAACTTATGGATATTTTTTAGATTAAATTATAGAAAGTTGAAGAATTTTTAGCTGAATTCATTTAATTTTTGGTTTTATATGGTTATTTGCTCAATATACCGGGAAAGGAATGTAATTGATAATTGATAAATATATATGTGGTTGGAGCCATTTTTTTTTAATTACTTTTAGTCCAGTTTGTAAGAACTTCAAGGGTAAACATTTGGTTGAGGTTCTTTCTCTATCAAAACCCTATAATTTACACAAAACTAATTGAAAAAGAAAAAAAAAAGTTACCAAAAAAAAACTAATAGTAGTTGATTTGATTATTTAAGGACTGATATTTCCTGATAGTCTAATACTATCCCAGTTTGAGTACCATTCTTAATTGCACCCTAAACGGTCCTCTTGTACCGTACAAGATTTTAGACAAAAGCCAAAAACTTATCTCNGCTAATAGTAGTTGATTTGATTATTTAAGGACTGATATTTCCTGATAGTCTAATACTATCCCAGTTTGAGTAGCATTCTTAATCGCACCCTAAACGGTCCTCTTGTACCGTACAAGATTTTAGACAAAAGCCAAAAACTTATCTCACACTAGCCATTTGATGGAAAAACTTGGTGTCAGATTTCACGTAAAAAAGGAGATTTATGTAAGATTTCGTGCCCCATTCTTTTGTATCTTGATCTAATCAATATTTTACATATTTCTTTTCTTAATTTCTTTGACGATAAGATATAGAAACTATGTAACAACTACCGCATTTTGAGAATCCTCAGGGATGGTTCAATGGTTAAATCTGACCTTTGGTAACCCAAAGGTCTCAGATTCAATCCATTCCACACACTCCCTAAGGGTTAGACACTCTTGTCCCTTTGGGGACCTGTTCTAATATAGTTCAAGCCACTGTCATTAGTCGTTGAGCTCGAAAGAGTATTTGACATAAATTTAAACATCCTATAACAAAAAAAAAAAACANTCCCATTCTTTTGTATCTTGATCTAATCAATATTTTAAATATTTCTTTTCTTAATTTCTTTGACGATAAGATATATAAACTATGTAACAACTATCGCATTTTGAGAATCCTCAGGGATGGTTCAATAGTTAAATTTGACCTTTGGTAACCCAAATGTCTCAGATTCAATTCATTCCACACACTCCCTAAGGGTTAGACACTCTTGTCCCTTTGGGGACCTGTTCTAATCTAGTTCAAGCCACTGTCATTAGTCGCTGAGCTCGAAAGAGTATTTGACATAAGTTTAAACATCCTATAACCAAAAAAAAAAAAAAAACACTACTGCATTTTGAGAGGATATATACTACCCAAGAAAATTATTTCTAAGCTTTACTGATTTATGCGAGTCTTTTGACTATATTGATTTTGTGACTTTGAGAAAGACATTCATTATATTGTCAAGATTGACGACCTTTATGTGGCTATTGAGATCCATGNTTTCTAAGCTTTACTAATTTATGCGAGTCTTTTGACTATATTGATTTTGTGACTTTGAGAAAGACATTCATTATATTGTCAAGATTGACGACCTTTATGTGGCTATTGAGATCCATGGGAATATATGGGATATATTTTTTCCCACAACATTTTCTCGATGTACACCTTTACACTTTCTCAGGCATTGATATCAACATTACTGAAGTTTTATGAGGTTAATGCAACCCTCCATCCATCATCCATGTTTTGTTTAGGTAAAGCTGGCCTATCCATTGTTTTGGATCGTCACTTNAGATATATTTTTTCCCACAACATTTTCTCGATGTACACCTTTACACTTTCTCAGGTATTGATATCAACATTACTGAAGTTTTATGAGGTTAATGCAACCCTCCATCCATCATCCATGTTTTGTTTAGGTAAAGCTGGCCTATCCATTGTTTTGGATCGTCACTTAATGCACAATGTTGTTCTTAGAAAGCAAAAAATACATCCATCAGCTTCTAAAATTTAGATGATGAGTATTGTGTTTGCTATGTTTTCCGCCTCTACTTTTTGATTGTTATGCATGTGACCCCTTTTATTTCATGAAAGAATCATAAAGTGAAATATATACATTGTGTAATTTGAATTGGTTCAAACTCAAATAAATAAATATGTCAATAAGAAGATATATAAGATGTAGATTTTCAAACGGGAATAATTAGTAGTAGTTGTAATTTTCAAATTTATTTTTTCAAACTTTTTTGGTATTATAAAGGTTATTTTTGTTATAGTTTTATTGATGTTATCTTTATCTTTGATGTTAAATTAATTATGTATATTAAGTTACGTTAATCACATATTATTGAATATGATTCATGCATCAACTAGTCTTATTAAATTCTCAATTTTAAACTTATTAAGTTAATTCCTTTTACATCCATCCCATTAGTACCAAAGCATACCCATTCTATATTCATCCCACTAATTCAATCTTTAACTTTAGGGTTTTTTTTTTATATTCCAATTATATTCTTATACATAATAACAAAATCTTTATATTCATCCCACTAACTCAATCTTTATTCTTATATAATAATACTTAACTTGATTTTTTAGTGTAGATCTCTTAAGTAATATTAGTTCTAAATTTATTTTATTTCGTTGTACTTATTTTATTTCTGTCAGTATCAATAATTTTTATTTATGGTTTGTATATAATTTATAGAGGGTTAAATACATATATGTAAACTTAACCTAGTGTTTTTCCTTGAAGAGAATTTTACATGAAATAATTAAAATATTAAAAATATTTGAGTGAAGACTTTTTTTTTGTTAATATTCAAATTATATATATATATTTTTTTCATGATCTAGTTTGTGGTATCTTGAGTACATTAAGATGATGACCAAAAAAAAAAAAAGTACATTAAGATGTAATTATGGAAAACTCTTTTACTTTTTTCGTATTTTAGTTAACATTAGGAGTAATTTGTATTCGAAAGTACAATGTAATGTGAATAATTTTGAAAAGATAATTAATAAATATCGAATAAATTTATTTGAAATTATTGAATAAATTTCAACAGTATAAAATGGGTTTAGTGGTCGTGGAATATGATGGATTTAGTTGGTGTTGAAGGGGGTATTGGTGGGTGGTTTTACGGAAGCAATAGTAGTGGGCCAGAGTAGAAAGCACACGAGGCATGCAGTCGTGTGTTTTGATGTGCATAATAGAGAGAGAGAGAGAGAGAGAGAGAGTGGGGAGTGCCTGTATTCATAAGCCGAATAAGGAGACAAAGTAAAAGGGCGTCTACCGCCACGGATTGAACATCTCTCTCTCTCTGTCTGTGAGCTGAGAGATCTCATTCACAAACACTTCATCAAAATCGAACGAGCTAGGGTTTTGTGCTCCCATTCATCTCACAATTTCCGAAGCTTCGTAAATGGAGTCGGTGTGTTTTCACGACGGCAACATCAATAACTTGATCGACAGTCGCACTCTCGACGTTCGCTATGTACGTTTATTTTCTCTCTCTCATCTCTCACTGATCATCAAATTATAATCAATTTAATCGATTTAATCTCTATTGTCTCATGTTTTTCCTGATGAAATTTAAATCGTTTTTATTAGGTAATGGAACAATTTTGTGAAATTATACTGTTTGATAGTGTTGCTTATTGCCGTAAGTTTATATGAGATTCAAAGTAGGTCGTAAAAATGGAATTCGAGATGGGATGATTCGATTAAAGCACGCATTATTGGATTTGTCTGTTACTTCTTTCACTGTACAATGTCGTTGTTGTCAATTTTTATTGGGTTCTGGTAGTATTTTATATTCGAATGGACACTCAATGTTTGAATTTGATGTACTGGGATTATTGAATTCTCATTCTTTGTGCGAGTGGTTTACCTTTATTTTCCGCTGAGTCGTATTAATATTGTAAAGATAGGATGTTCAAAAAGAAAATGCCACAGTTACTACTTTAAAAGCAAAGGCAACTCTTGTAATGCCTTCTGAATTTGCTATGCAAGAGATTCAGATATTTGCAATAATACCTGAAAAAAATGTTTAGAAATATTCCAGTTTTGGGTTTTTGGTTCTTTCTTTGCACCAGAATGCAGTCAGGGGCAGAGCCGGTGGGCCAAAATATGGATAAAGAAACTTAAACCTATTGATATAAGCTTTGGACAGAAGTGCATACGTAAGAAATATATCAAGGTTCAGGACTAAGTTCTTTCTCAGCCTTAATGAGATATAGAACAAAAGAAAGACACAATACTTGTGTCTTATTGCCTTTCACTTGCATCACCTTTCCAAATATGGCTTGATGTCCTGAAAAATAATCTATAACTAATTTTATGTGCAAAATTTCTTATCCCATTTTTAACAATATAAATAGCTGAAAATAATCCACATGCCTAACAGATATCAGTGATTTCATGGACCATTGAAATTCAACTCATTACTCATTTATCTTTTGACTTGTTCAAGAAATGGTGTATAAGAAGTGGATGAAAACTTTTCATGGTGATTACCAAACACTCTCATACTTCTCTCTCTCTCTCTTTCTGTCAAGGCCAGCTGGGCAATTTTGGCCAATCAGAATAGAGAGAAGGATAGACAAAGGAGTCTTGCCAAGTTGGAAGCTTAAGGCTGTTTGATATTTTTAGATTAGGTGGAAGAAGACTTACGTTCTGTGCCCGTGTAAAGGGCCGTATAAACTAGATGATGTTATGACTTGGATTCTGTTTGAGGCCACACTTGTATCAAATATTAATGGACATTGGATTCCTGTGGTTATTGGGACATAAAAAAAGAAAAAAAAATTCCATAGGAGGGTAAAAAATGAAATGCGATAGGCAAATGACAACTTACACTGAGGCATGATTATTTGGCTCTGCTGGACATATTGGATTTTACAGTTCACACCTAAGTGTGTTCACCTGTTCTGAAGACTCCTTGTCTGCCAAACTGAGTTAAGGATTATACTTGTTCATTTTGATTATTGATACAAGTTTCATGTATGGATCTGTTTTTTGGTTATTACCCTTTCAGTATGTAGCATCTTTTATGGGTTTGTTGGTTTAGTAAGATTAGACCATCTGTACGGTCTTAACCATTTTTTGTCATATTGTAGGACATTAATCACAGATTGCAAATGCACTCGTCATTGGTACAAAGGCTTTCCCAGGAAAGAGAATTGGAGGTGCGCACAAACACAATTGATTTCATTACCTACTATTATTTTCCCAAATGAGCTTAATTTATATGCTTATTTCAGTTATTTGTTGTATTGCATCTCTCTCTCTCTCTTTCTGTGCTGTTTATGTTAAATTCATCAGCTCTTTTCCATTCCTTTGCTCTGTGTAATCCATCAATTTTTAAGATAGGTACAAGAGATGCTGTCTGAAGCTATGTAGAGATAGCTCAATTAGTGACTTAATATAAATGCAGTGGAGACTGGAATTGGCCCACATGCAAAGTTATCTTAGCTTCCTAATTCTTAATTATCATGTCCTGATTATTGAAAACAGGGGAAAATGAATGAAGAATACTCGCGGGAAAAAGAAAGAGGCTAGTGACTGGGATTTGTAGCTGTCTGGACTTGGCTGCTCTCTCTCTCTCTCACTCACTTCCTTTAATTGTTATTGCAACTGTGTTGGAACTCCATAGTGTGTTGATATGTAATCATAACCGTCAACAAGTCTGCTTTCTTTTCTTTGGATATCTGAATTGGCTGTAATGGAAGGATTGGGACCTGTTGCAATAGCTTTATATGTGATCTACAAACTTTAAGCCAATGGTGTGTGTCATGGCCTTGCCTTTGCCAATACATATAATTGGGTGAGAGGTGCACCTAACCCACTCATCAGTCACGGTGTTTAGCTTCCTTGCTCTGATAGAATCTTGTTGTGTTGGAATTAGGCACTCATCTTTTTTATTGTTGTTAATTAATCTCTTCAATGTTCTATTCTAATGGGTTGTTTCCCATAAAAATATAAGAAATCTCGAGTTTTAGCAGATTATGTAAACCATGCATTCTCGGGCATAGCCTTTCATGAAAGGTGTCATGGGACATATGTCGGCTGCAGTAGTCTTATATCCAAGGTAAGGGTAGATCAATCCATTTACCGACTGAAGAGAGGGGGAGCGCAGCCCCTCTGCTATATGAGATAGAGACTACTTGTTTAAGATGGAGGTTTAAGTTGTGGAGGGGAAGTGACTTATCCCAAAAAGAAGCACATTTGGTTCTAATATGATAAATGCTGTGGTGACTTTCCACTGTTCTGAAGTGGCATATTGAGTGCAACAGTGATGACATCATCATTATGAACTATATCCGTGATGCATTTTCATTTCATTATAGTATATCTTCTCTTCATGTCTAGTTATGCATTATACAAATCAATTAACGAGCATAAGATTCTGTAAGCTACCATGTCATTGGTTTCCCATTAGGACCTTCCTCTTGGGTCAGAGTCCAGTTTTTTTTTTGGAATATTTCTATTGTGTTTTTTGCACTCTATAGTCTATACTATAATGGTCTTATTTTATGCTGCATCATATTATAGTATATCACGTTATGCCAGAATTTACATCGAACAAAATTTGTGATCTCAACACTTGTACATTGTTGTACAGGGGCATCAGGGCTGTGTGAATGCTGTGGCTTGGAATTCAAAAGGCTCGCTTTTGGTATCTGGGTCTGATGATACACGCGTATGATGCCACCGTATAATTGATTTGATTAGCTTATTTCTTAATATGATTTCTGCATTGCATACATTTCCTAGAAATCTTGATATGATTTAATTTGGCAATCTTTGCCGTGCCTGTCCACTTGAGACTCATAAAGTCATAATAATTGGGAAATATGAATTAGTTTGTGTCTATTGAAGCCATAGTGCTGCAGTTCAGACCTCTGATAATGAAGGTGTTATAAAGTTGTCTTATCAGAAAAAAAGTGGTACAGGGTTGTTCAAAATGTAAATAATGAGGGACATGGTAAACAACAAGGGAGCCAAAGATTGATTGGAATGGAAATTAAGACAATGAAGTCTTAAGAGAACTATACCAGTTACATATGTTATCATTGCAAAATGAGAAATATCTGATAGATATTAGATGCAGTTGTTTGGAATAAGCAGCTCTTCAGGTTTCAGTTCAAATTATGATGTACTAATTAACCAGAAGAGGCTTAAGTTTGAATGGACCATTACATTGTCTTATGTAATGTTTTTACTGAAGAGAATTCTCCGGAAAAGATAAAGCAAAATTAGTAGTGCATGATATCTTATGCTTAGAAGTTAGAACTGTGTATATTCACGAGACATAATACTTGTCCGTCATTTGAAGAAAATTGCTGAAGTACGCTAATAAATGGAGGCTGATCAGGATGGAATTTATCTGCTGTGAGATAGCATTGGAAATCATAAGGATGCAAAAAAAAAAAAAAAGTGTGAATGGTGATTAACCCAACTTTACAATTTTTTGATTGACAAGAAACTTGAAATTGAAATCTGCTGCTTGCTTTGTAAAGGGGCATTCAGAAGCCATTGTAGTGTATGCACAATTTGTAGAAGGATTGGGCAAAGTTTAGGACTAACGTAACCTTGTCCATCTGCTTCTGGTCGGCTACATGTGTATTTTTTGTCTTGAAAATATTAGTTTAAAAAAAATTTATGTTTGCATCAATGAAATTGGAGGGGAAGCTAAATATTGGTTTGTCTGCTTCAAGCGTCCTCATCGGTTTTGTGACTGACCTAGACTTGACGGCTTTAATGGTTCAGCAGTTCTGTCAAGCATGTTCTAGTACATAAATGGCATTGCATGTGATCTGTTCGTATTGAGTTTCTTTCAGTGAGTTACCAATCTCTTTGGTAATTTCTCTTTCTTCGTGAGCGGGTGCTCATAAACTAACCGCCACTCACTATGTTTTGTAGGAATAATTTGTTCTCAGATGGACCTTGTAATTTCCCAAGAACAGTGATTTGATACATATCGATGGTATTGCGAAAGGTAGATGTGGGATGTAATTAACTCTGAACGAAATGGTAAAAAGGGATGTGATAGCTCACAGTTCAGTGGAAAAAATGACTCACAATGGACAAGTAGGATTCATGTAGGCGACCCCCATATAATTGGGACAAAGACTTTTTTGTGTTGAGTTGAGTTATGTTTGTGTACATAAATCTTAATGAGAGTGGTTAGTTGAGTAGCAGTTGCAAAAAGTTGATGGTAAGCAAATGCATGGGATGTGAACGCTCGTATACCACTCAGATCGACATCCTATATGCACTTGTTGATGACTGCCTGGGTATGAATGATCCTCACAAACACACTCAGAGGGACATACTATTTAGACTTTTAGGAGAGATTTGGTTGATGACTTCCTCAAAGCACTAGTACTTGGGTGGTTCCAAGAGGTTGTTATTTGGTTTTGAGTATGAATTTTGAAGGCTTTGGTTCATGGTCTAAGGCCAAGGTTCTTTGAAGATGCGATGTTGGCTTTATTTTGGATGATTTGGTTGGAAAGAAGTGGAAGGATTTTTTAGGATAAAGAGGCTCCTTGGGCAAGATCTATGGGATAAAATCTCTGTCATAACATCTCTATGATGTACAAGGATTTCAAAGGGATTCAATTATTTTTAATTAAAGATCATCGGGATGAAGTGTGTGAATAGTGATGCCACACAATTTCTTCACCTCTTTGTTTTATTTTGTTTTGAGCTTGTTTAGGCTTTCTATTCTTCTTTCTCCGTGCATCTATGGAGGAATCTTTGTCCTCTCATGTACTATTACTCTTTCCATTCACTTTAATGATTTTATTCGTTTTCTTTCGAAAGTAAAAAACAATCTTTTTCCATTTGCATTATTGCTTCCTAGTTTGTTGGAAAGTCAGTATCTTACATGTCTGATAACCTTTTTTTTTTTTCCATCAAATAACTTTTTTTTTTTCCCTGTCAAATATATGTTTGTGATTAGGAGGATTTTAGAATTGTTTAATTTGTTGCAGATTAATATCTGGAGTTATTCACGGCGTGAGCTGTTACACTCCATTGAGAGTGGGCATTCTTCCAACATATTCTGTACAAAATTTGTTCCTGAAACTTCTGATGAGCTTGTGGTCTCTGGGGCTGGAGATGCTGAGGTGATTTTTTGAAGGATTTGTTTATATATGTGTATATATGTTTTTGATTTAGGTATTTGTGTATATCATGCAGCTGTCATGTTGTTAAACGGTTTTGGAAATTAATGCTTGTGTCCTTTCTTTTTTGTCATATGGCAGGTTCGTCTTTTCAATTTGTCCCGTTTAAGGGGAACGGGTCGTGATGAAAATGCTATCAGTCCTTCAGCGCTGTTTCAATGTCATACCAGGAGGGTCAAAAAATTAGCTGTAAGTTCTTTTTCATTCTTCTAGAAGTGGGTTACATCATAGACTTATGAATATAAAGATGTGATTTAAAAAAGATTCCCGTTCAGACTTGTCAGGTCAATACTAAAGTCATTTGCTTGCTTCGTGAATTTGTGTGACTCTTATCCCATTTGCAGGTGGAAGTCGGTAACCCCAATGTGGTATGGAGTGCAAGCGAAGATGGGACCTTGAGGCAGCATGACTTTCGGGAGGGTTCTTCTTGTTCTCGAGCTGGATCTTCTCGCCAAGAATGTCACANGGAAAGTCAGTATCTTACATGTCTGATAACCTTTTTTTTTTTCCATCAAATAACTTTTTTTTTTCCTGTCAAATATATGTTTGTGATTAGGAGGATTTTAGAATTTTTTAATTTGTTGCAGATTAATATCTGGAGTTATTCACGGCGTGAGCTGTTACACTCCATTGAGAGTGGGCATTCTTCCAACATATTNTTTAATTTGTTGCAGATTAATATCTGGAGTTATTCACGGCGTGAGCTGTTACACTCCATTGAGAGTGGGCATTCTTCCAACATATTCTGTACAAAATTTGTTCCTGAAACTTCTGATGAGCTTGTGGTCTCTGGGGCTGGAGATGCTGAGGTGATTTTTTGAAGGATTTGTTTATATATGTGTATATATGTTTTTGATTTAGGTATTTGTGTATATCATGCAGCTGTCATGTTGTTAAACGGTTTTGGAAATTAATGCTTGTGTCCTTTCTTTTTTGTCATATGGCAGGTTCGTCTTTTCAATTTGTCCCGTTTAAGGGGAACGGGTCGTGATGAAAATGCTATCAGTCCTTCAGCGCTGTTTCAATGTCATACCAGGAGGGTCAAAAAATTAGCTGTAAGTTCTTTTTCATTCTTCTAGAAGTGGGTTACATCATAGACTTATGAATATAAAGATGTGATTTAAAAAAGATTCCCGTTCAGACTTGTCAGGTCAATACTAAAGTCATTTGCTTGCTTCGTGAATTTGTGTGACTCTTATCCCATTTGCAGGTGGAAGTCGGTAACCCCAATGTGGTATGGAGTGCAAGCGAAGATGGGACCTTGAGGCAGCATGACTTTCGGGAGGGTTCTTCTTGTTCTCGAGCTGGATCTTCTCGCAAAGAATGTCACAATGTTTTAGTAAGCACTGAATTAGAATTTGCCTTCCCGGCTGCTGCCTCCTTTGTCATTTTTTTTTGGGATGTGGGGGTGGGGTAGTGGGACATGATTTGTGAGTTAAATTACTTTTTTGGGAAATCATCATTTGTTTCTCCTCCCCACAATATATTTTTATGCTGCATTGAAATTGTGTTGCCATATGTCTTGCAAGACATTTGNATGGGGTAGTGGGACATGATTTGTGAGTTAAATTACTTTTTTGGGAAATCATCATTTGTTTCTCCTCCCCGCAATATATTTTTATGCTGCATTGAAATTGTGTTGCCATATGTCTTGCAAGACATTTGGACCTGAATATGTGAAAGGAAATCATTTAGGTTAGTATCTTTTGTACAGAAGAAATTGTGGGTGTTTCGGTACATTGATCAGTTGCATGCTTGCTTCCATTGGTCATGAAGTGTGTGATGCTTTTAGAAGTCTGTTTAAAATCTGGTTGCTTATCTGTAGGCTAAGTCGGATGGTTTGAATGTGTGAAGTTTTCTACCCACCATTCTGTATTGACCATTGAAACTTATCATAACTGACCGCTAACATATTTGGTCCTGTTGAACTCATCAGGCCACGCCATGCCATTTGGCAAGTTTAATAGTGAAGTTTAAAGTTGGTTCATGGTGTGAGGGATAGAATAATTCTACATCACAATTATTTTACATGTTGCAGACATGTTTAGTTGGAAGCTTTGATCTTTCAATTTCGTATCCTGTTAGGTGGATTTTGCCCATGCTCTATTCAGAGTGTTTATTAACAATTGGTGTGTCACTTCCATAGCCAAAATGAAGATTTAATGGTAGTTTAATAGATGTAGAAGGCAGTTTTTGCTCTTTGGTTTGACATGGTTGGGCATTCTTGGGTTACTCCAAGATCTATATCAAGGATGTTTTGTGTGTATTTTAATGGTTTTGGAAGGAAGAGTAAAGGAATTACTCTTTGGGATTGTGCATTGTTTGCACAATTTGGGTGGTTTGGTTGGAGAGAAATGCAAGAATTTTTGATGACTAGTTCAGAAGCTATTGGGGGAGTGGCATTCTTATGAAAAACATGCATTTGTTTCTACCTTTGACCATGGTGAATTTGTTGAACTCCATTGAAGCATATGAGAGCTAATGGCTTTGACCGGATCGGGAAGATGATTAATCGATGTTTATATAAGTTGGTCTGAGCACCTTAACCATTGAGAGAGAGAGAGAGACCAAAGACACAAATTGAAGAAGTGTACCATCTACAATGTATCAACAAAGTGTACATTCAAAGTATGTCAACAAAGTGTAACCCCTGTCACCAAAGTGTACATCCATAGTATATCTACAAAGTGTTTTCACTACAATAATGTCAAAATCACATAGATTTACCATTTTTAATTTTTTAAATTCAAAAGCCAAAATAATAAAAATCTTGTGACAATAAAGGGCTACCCAAGCACAACACATCTTTACGGAAAATAGCGTATATTGATATAGACTCAAGATATATGATGTGATTCTAAAGTGTGGCAATAATAAAAAATCAAACAATGCCGCAATAAATTTATAAGCAAGTGTCAACATAGGGTTCATTGAACTGTTTTACTACAAAAATTGACTTCTTATGAAGTTATAGTGCTAAAAGTGTTGTAATACANTGGAAAATAGCGTATATTGATATATACTCAAGATATATGATGTGATTCTAAAGTGTGGCAATAATAAAAAATCAAACAATGCCACAATAAAGTTATAAGCAAGTGTCAACATAGGGTTTATTGAACTGTTTTACTACAAAAATTGACTTCTTATGAAGTTATAGTGCTAAAAGTGTTGTAATACATTGTGGTAATAAAGTGCTACATAATATAAATGCTGAATTTTTTAACATCCAGATTCATAATTTGAAATAGATATGATTTAGCATTTAAAAAAAATCCACAATCTACATGTAAAGTAGTAGTGTTGAGATTGTATTTTTTTTTTTTTTGATGTCATTTTTTTTCTACCACGTCTGAGGTAGAAAAACATATTGNTTGTGGTAATAAAGTGCTACATAATATAAATGCTGAATTTTTTAACATCCAGATTCATAATTTGAAATACATATGATTTAGCATTTAAAAAAAATCCACAATCTACATGTAAAGTAGTAGTGTTGAGATTGTATTTTTTTTTTTTGATGTCATTTTTTTTCTACCACGTCTGAGGTAGAAAAACATATTGCCATCATTATTAAAGACACAAATTGAGGAAGTGTACCATCTAAAGTGTATCGACCAACTATGCGTTCAAAGTGTGTAACTCAAGCAAAACAAAGCTTCATGCAGGGGCAGCTCAAGACAGTTTGAAGCCTAAAATGATAATTTATTTTGAGGCCTTTTTATTTTTAGTGTTAAAAATTTTGATTAAAATTAATTCTTCTCATTTTTTGAGTAGTAAAAGTATAAATTGAGTTTTTATATTTAAATTTTGTTATCATATTTGTTTACATTGGTAAAATTGTTAATCTAATTATTTTTCTTGTGGTAGGTGATTTTAATTAAGATTTTATCAATTTTAATTGTGAAAAACTTCTTNTTGAGTTTTTATATTTAAATTTTGTTATCATATTTGTTTACATTGGTAAAATTGCTAATCTAATTATTTTTCTTGTGGTAGGTGATTTTAATTAAGATTTTATCAATTTTAATTGTGAAAAACTTCTTTTTGTAGAAGTAACTGCTACAAAAAATAATAATAATATTTTATAAAAATTTACTCTTTTTATATAATTTAGTGTCTCAATTGGAGTATTTTCTTTCATTTGTAAAATCTTTTTTAAAATATTTTATTTTTAAAATAAATTTAAACTATCAATGTTAGAAAAATTGTTATGTTTTAAGAAACATCCGAGATCAAGATAAAAAATTTTAAACTATCAGCATTTAATGATTTTATTTTTTAAGTTAAATAAAAAACAAAAAAAAATTCTTTATTTGAACTTGATATGGAGAGAGAGTGAGTGAGAATGAAAATGAGAGGGAGGGGCTTTCTAGTGTTTTGCGCGCGCACACAAAGAGAGAGAGAGAGAGAGGGGATGTGGTTAGGGATGTCAGTGGACCGAAGTGAGGGCAGGGGGTATAGTCTTCATCTCCGTACCCGCTTAAAAAAATTTCGTCCATCCTCGGTCCACCCCCGNCAGAGAGAGTGAGTGAGAATGAAAATGAGAGGGAGGGGCTTTCTAGTGTTTTGCGCGCGCACACAAAGAGAGAGAGAGAGAGAGAGAGAGAGGGGATGTGGTTAGGGATGTCAGTGGACCGAAGTGAGGGCAGGGGGTATAGTCTTCATCTCCGTACCCGCTTAAAAAAATTTCGTCCATCCTCGGTCCACCCCCGTTAACAAGGATAATTTTCATCCCCATCCCCGTCTGCAGGTAAATTTCTAATTCTCGCCCCCGTACCCGCTCAAGCCGAAGCCGAAGCCGAAGCCGAAGCCGAAGCCCACGCCCAAGTTCAAGCCAAAATGCCCAATGTATGTTGGAGATGGTCATGTTTGAAGGAATGCTCAGATTGTCTAACAATCCAAAATGCCCTATAAGACTTGCACCTTTTCATTAGCAACCACAAAGAGGAGTTTTTTTTACCAATCTAGGAGTTTTTTTACCAATTTATTAGAAATTAGTAAAGTATTAAGGTAAAAAAGTTGTAAAATCTCAGCNAAAAAAAAAAACTTCCATACTGTCCAATAAAAATTAGGGTTCATGTATTATTTTGGTAAGTTTTAGATAACTAAAACACCTAAAATTTAGATTTTTTTTTATATTAGAATTCTTTCTCTCTCTAATATGAGATACGTAATCAATTCAAAATTTAAATAAATTTTAAATTCCTTAATTTTAGATCTTTCCATATAATAAGACTAGTAATGNATAGTCAAACCTTAACTAATATGTTGTGGATAACTTGAAATTAAAGGAAAAAACAACCATAAGAAAGCTCATGTAATCATGCGGAGGCATACTATTAATAAATTATCCACAAAGGAGTATATTGACAAAGCATTTTAGTTAAGTCCACTCATTAAAACCAACTGAACCAAATATGCAGACATTCTTAGATGAAATGGTGTGAACTTAACATGCTTATTAATATTTTCAAAAAAATACACTATGAATGCCACAGTTTATCCAACACATAAAAGACAACCAAATCTCCAACCCTTCTAAAACTAGGCCAAAATATGCACTTGTTCTCGGGCTGCAACAACTACACAGGGAGCTATCGATTTTAGTACTCAAAGCATAGCAGACATAACTAAGATGTGTCTGTCCAAGTATGCGAGGCATGGTCCTATTTAACACCCAACTCCAGAAAGGCAATTGATTCCCAAAAGTTGTAAAATCTTGTATCTTTTCATTATAAAACATTATTAGAAATTAGTTTTTTTATCAATCTAGGAGTTTTTTTACCAATAACTAAAACTAAAGCACTCCACTCCACTGCCATTGATAATAAAATATCAGTGGGTGGATTTGTGCTCTTCCATGGACCATTGAGACGAGCTAAGTTTGTTAAACTAATTCTAAGTGGGTTGGTGGTCTCAAAACTGCATGCCAAATCTTTAAGATTATTCTACAAGGGCAACTAGAAATAGAATAAGGAGAACAAAAGGCAAAAAAGAAAACTTACCCATGTACTGTAATTGATCAGCGATCAGCCAGGGCAGAGGGAGAGAGAGATCCAAGTGCAGCGATCAGCTCAGTGAGAGACAAAGAGCTTAGCTAAGTTAGGGGCCTGTGTCACTGCTGTGTGTGTTTGTGTGTGAGAGAGAGGGAGAGGCGTTGATAGAGGAAGAGCCAAAGAGGAGAGTTAGGGCAGGGCCTTAGGGCTTTAACTGAGAGTTTATATATATATATATATAACGGGTATAACGGGGACGGGGCGGGGGTAAGGGTACGTCCATCCCCGCTTTCACCCCCTCACGGGTTTATACGGGTATCTCCGTATACGTCTATCGTCTAATACGTATAGTCCATCTCCGGTCCAAACAGGACGGGTTTGGACGAATACCCATTTTTTTTATGTCCATTGTCATCCCTAGATGTGGTTGAGAATGAGTTGGTGAATCATGACTTTACTTTTGAGTACACCATCAGTTTTTTTATTAAAATTTTGATTGTTTAGGTTTTTATTGTTATGGGTGGAATCAGGAGCTCAAAAAATTATTAAAATTAAAATTTTTGATTCGTCTTAAATTTTGACCATGGCTTTTTGTGGAGTTTATAATTTTCGTGGACTTAAAATTCTAAAGTGGGCCAACTATTTACCTAAAATTATGGGACCTAAAGCCCAAGTTTTTTTACTTCTATAGGTTTGTCGGCCCTGACTTTATTATAACAACATAGAATGATATTGGATTAATATATAGGATGTGTGACTAAAAATTGTGTCAACAAAGTATTCATTTAAGGTTTAGTCAAAAAAGTGAATACTTTTTGGAGTATAGATAGTGTGTCATCATTATTTCAAAAACATGTGATTTATCATTAAAAAAAAAAAAACTTCCATACTGTCCAATAAAAATTAGGGTTCATGTATTGTTTTGGTAAGTTTTAGATAACTAAAACACCTAAAATTTAGATTTTTTTTTTAGATTAGAATTCTTTCTCTCTCTAATATGAGATACGTAATCAATTCAAAATTTAAATAAATTTTAAATTCCTTAATTTTAGATCTTTCCATATAATAAGACTAGTAATGCACGATATGTCTTGCATGTAAATAAATTAAATAATATTATTTTTATAAAAAATGTGAATTATGTGTGTAATTAAATTAAAAAATAAATTAGCTATTGAATAATTAATTCGTATTTTAATTATTGCTAAATTTAAAAATTTTGAGTATCTAATCTGTCATTTATTTAGGTATCTCCTTGACCCCTTTAAGCATTTGCATATCTAATTATATTATATAATTATTAATTTTTGTTTTATTAAATAAATTGATTAGATCGCTTATAATGTTATTATATTATTACATACTAAAAAATAAAATATAACATATATTTGATTGTGTAATTAACTTGTTAACTAGTTCAAAAAAATTTAGAAACCTTTATAAAAGAGTCTAAAACCAGTTCAAAGTTAAATAGGTATAAAAAAAATAAAAATTAGGTGGGTATCATTGACCTTATTATAATAATTAGTGATAAAATAAGAAATCCGATGCTGACAAAATTTAGAAGTTTTTATAAAAGAGTCCAAAATCAGTTAAAAATTAAATAGGTATTAAAAAAAAATTAGATGGGTATAGTTGACCTTATCATAATAATTAAGGATAAAATAAAAAATCAATAATTAGGGATAAAATAAGAAATAGATGCTAACAGAATTTGGAAATTTTTATAAAAGAGTCCAAAACCAGGTGAAAGTCAAATAGGTATAAAAAGAATAAGGTGGGTATAATTGACCTTATCATAATAATTAGGGATAAAATAGAAAATCAAAAGTTTTTCGTAGATTCTGACATTTATAAGTAGTATAGATAAGAGTGAAAGTTTATGAAATCCGTTTGTCTCTTAGTATCTTTTTGGGCATCGGTCTCGAAGGAGTTTGCAAATGGGCCTCTATTTGGAATCTTGCTTAATTGGAATGCTGCTTGTTACTGTTATCTATCTTAATTTCTGTTTTATTGTTTTTATGCAATGCTTTTTTGCTGTTTATCATTATGGCTGGACTACTTGTCCGCTGCTTGGTCTTATTTTGCTACACTTCCTTTATATTATTAATAGAATATGTGTTTCCTATCAAAAAAGAATTTGCTTTCTTTCCTCATGATATATTTTTCAATCACAGGTTGAATTCGTACATGACATTTGATCTTTTGCAAATTTATGGAGTTCTTCTAGTATTGTCTTCAGTAATATTGATCCCATGTTGAAATTGTTGATTTTGCTTGTTGTTTTGACCATTTTTGTTCTTTCCGATGAGAGATCCTTTGGTATGCTTGTTTCACATTTTTAGTACTTGATGGCAGCTTGACTTGCGGTGTGGATCAAAAAAGTCATTGGCTGATCCTCCCAAACAGTCCCTTGCTCTGAAGTCTTGTGAGATCAGTTCCACTAGGCCTCATTTGCTCCTAGTTGGGGGAAGGTACTTCTTTTTGGTTAATGTTACTTTTGCAATTTGGTTTCCTGTCATGTTTTTGCTGATTTGTCATCATGAATGCTTGCAGTGACGCGTTTGCTCGTTTATATGATAGACGAATGCTCACACCACTGTCATCCTGTCAGAAAAAGTTGTCGCCACCTCGTTGTGTTAACTACTATTGCCCAATGCATCTATCTGACCGTGTTAGTCCAGAACTTCTCCAATATCTTAGTGTTGCACTGTCATTCCTTATCAGTCTAAGTGTTTGCTTTCATGAACGTTATGGTTTATGTTCATATTTACTTTGAAGGGNTTTAGTGTTGCACTGTCATTTCTTATCGGTCTAAGTGTTTGCTTTCATGAACGTTATGGTTTATGTTCATATTTACTTTGAAGGGAATTTTGATTTTGAGTATCTCTTTGGACAAGTATGGACACTCTTACGAATGTGACAAATCTGTGTTGGATATTGACATTTGTCGGATACGTGTTTGATGCTCTTTTATCTGTGTCCCTAATTGGAAGATCAAACTTTAATTTCAGGCATGTGTCCAACATTCATTTGGCGATGTGTCCGACACATCTTTAGGTCGTATCTGCCACTAAATTATAACTTGCATTGACATGTGATTAGCAAAGCATAAAAAGTTGTTAAATGACTATCTTCCAGATTTTTTTTTTTTTTTAAAAGAAACAGTGATTTCATTAATCATAAAAGGCAAAAGTACAAAGGGCATGTCAAGGCTTAGTCATGTTATGGTTGTACTCAAAATTCACTAATAAAAGGAAAATATGAATAAAAGTTTTACTAAAACAATGAAATTGAGAAAATGAAAGCAATCATGATAACTATGTTTATAATTAAGTATGTGTAGCTGTGTCTATAAAAAAATCCCTGAGTATTGACTACTATTATCATTTAATCTAAAAATCCACACTAGTTGACTAGGCATAAGATTTACCTGTCACAAAAAATACTGAAGTCCTTATGAATCTAACTCCTTCTATATTTGTGATAATTATATAATTTGATGAATAAAAAATTATTATTTTTAAGGTGTCCAAGGCATGTCCTTGTTGTGTCGTATATGTACTTTTTAAAAATGGGGATTAATATTTTTAATGGGAAAGTCACATTTGGCCCTTGTCGATAGACATTACAGATTCTCCCAAAGCCATAATTTCAGAGTGGTGAATACATAAATACTTAAATAGGTTTGGGGTAGGCCTTTTCAGTGCTAAATGTTGATTGTCACTGATGATGAAAAACAAAGAAGCAAATGATGCAGGTTCTTTCGAAGTTCAGCACCATATGAGAAGGACAGCAACATTAGGGGTCTTTGGTGCTGGTAAGTCTGTCAGAAGTCATACTAGATATTTAGGATTCAGCTTGCCTTTATCGAGTGTTTTTTGTGGTTGACCCGTAAATCCACTAATGTCCCAAATTATTGACAATTGTCAGCTGATTTTAGGGTGTTTATACAATCATGGATGCCTGTTTTTTTTTTTTTTTTTGATTTTTGGAGTAACTCTTTATTATATTGTCAGCTAGATTAAGTGATAGTGGACTTTCATACATTAATCTTTCATACAGCTAGAGTTCAACAGTTTACAGACGTACTATAGCTGTTATGTGTTGCATATGTGTTTTTGTTTGCAAATATATTTTTGGGAGATTAATATTTCCTGTATGAATGCATGCTTTTGTGAGTTGTGAAATGTTAGAAATATGGGATTATGGTTCTCACTTGCTTCTATTTTCTGTTAGCATCTGGTTATAGTGAAAGAAAGCAAATGACGTACTAATGCTTGATACTTCCAGTTTATTGTTTTGTACGTACTTATGTGTTTGTATTTTATTTGTTTCTGAGTGTTTCTTTAACATTAGCTACCAATATATTAGAAATTCAATTTTCTTTTCTTTTCTTCTCTCTTGTTGGGTTGGTTTTTTTTTTTTGCGGGTGGGGGAAGAGCTGCAATAGAGCTTATTGAAGGTAGAGCGGCAGTCTAAAGGTTCTACTTTTGTCTCTGTCTTCCCAGGGTCATTCTAGCTTGCATTTAACTCATGTTACATTTAGTCCCAATGGAGAAGAGGTTCTGCTTAGCTACAGTGGAGAGCACGTGTATCTAATGGATGTAAATCCTGGTATGTACTGTTTGAATACTTGGCTCCTAGTTTGGCAATTTGCAATTTTTATATGCTCTATGTTAACTCATGCTTGTGTAGTTCTTGTCTGGTTAAGGAGGTCACAAATTTACTGTTTCTTGGTATATTAAGAGTTTAAGTAACCAAAGTCAATGAAGGGGTGCTTCTAATTTGGAAAATTGTTTTGCTTTAGTATGTGCCTCATTGATTTTTTCTGCGCACTTAAAACCTTATTGCTGTGGTGTCTGAACAATCAGTAACATTCCTACAAGTAAATATATCTTTTGATAGCACATATTTATAAGCAGGCTCGGAGATGCAAATTAGGCAAAATTGCCTTCATATTACTCTTGGGATCCTCCTAGCTAATACCCTCTTTCTGCAAAGTAGATATATCGTTTGATACTTTATATATAATTGGAGTATTGCATAGTGACATGTCGGTGTTGCTTTAAATGCCATCATTGGACTTTTTAACTATACTAAATGGGCTAAATCTCTTGTTATCAGTAGACTGCTATACTTGTGTTGCTCCTTTCACTTTGCAGCTCCTGGGAGTGCTATGCGTTATACCACAGGAGATGTTTCAAAGCTTATGAACTTTACTCCCATACTCGATGGAGTAGAATTGCGACCTAAGGTGTCCAGTGGCATTTCGAATGGTTTTCCTATTAAGAGTCATGTTGCTGCCAGGGTGTGCATTTTGTTCTCCTAAGTATCATTAGTCTATTATTTGTCAATCATGGCTACGGTGCGTTGATTATAATTGGAGGTCTGATTCTCTTGTTCCAGCTTGACAAGTGCAGAAAATTAGTTCAAATTGCAGAAAAGTCCTTGAAGGAGGAAACAAATTATTACAATGGAATTGAGGCTTGTAATGAAGTTTTGGATGGTCATGGTCGTGAGATTGGACCTATGCTAATGCACGAATGTCTTTGTATACGAGCAGCCTTGTTGCTCAAGGTTTTTATGAACTACTTTTGTTACCAGCGTTCTCAGTGCAGTTCCATACATTTGCCTTCTAGCATTGTGAAAGTTTTGAAACTTTTGTTCCTTGTTTCAGCGGAATTGGAAAAATGATTCTCTTATGGCCACAAGAGATTTTTATAAAGCAAGGAAGATCGATTGTTCTTCACTTGAGGCATTGCTTGGTATGGCTGAGGCTTTGTCACAGGTAGGTTTCAGTAATCTTTTATCACAATTGGGCGTCTGAGCACTTTAATATGCAATAAAATTGTGAAAATGACCAGGCAATTTTAGTTCTGATTGCCTGTGCTTTCATCTTGGAGCTACTACGTTGATTGTGCTCTTTGACCTACCTGAGAGATGAATTTGACGTGTTTTTTATGTTACCTTTAGCTACTATGCCAAGCAGTAGGTTTCATTGCATCTGCAAATAAGATCACTTGGAGACTGGAAGGAAACTTTTCCTAGGAATCTCAGCCAGAAGATTTAAGTAACATTTTCCTTCTTTAGACTGTAGGTGGGACATGATAATTTCCCTCATCTGATTCTATACTTTATAAGGACAGTTATATCCATGTGGAATGCTTCATGAGGCTTGATGACTTGGGATATCCATTTCTCAATTCCCTTTTGTTTACTTCAACAGTGACATTACGAAGAACCTTATCATACTTCGTCTCTTTGACTGTTATTATCTTGCAGCTGGGCAAACATAAAGAAGCTCTAGACTTTGCTATTGCAGCTCATTCTCTGGCTCCATCTGATTCTGAAGTTGCAGAGAAGGTGGAGAATATAAGAAAACATCTTGCTGCAGGTTAGTGGCAATACACTCTTGATGTCTGGCACTCTTTTTCTTGGCCTTTATTGGGAGTACAACTCATCCATATAAATTTTTTTTATGCTACATGTGAAATTTTCCAACTGTTCCTATTCGTTATTTTCCCTATTTCTGTGGCTGCCTTAAAGTTGAGGCTAGCTTTTGTGCTTGAACTGCCGGTGGTTTATTGAATTGATCATGTTATGGTTATGATTCTTATGTTCAGAAAATGATTATCATATCATTATTTCAATGAAAATAAATTTTATGGAGGGTGCTTAATTGCAGCCATATTCACTGTCTGGTCTAATTAACCACGGCACACTTCCATCTACAACTTCTTAGATTGATACCTTGTCCAGCAGCTTCCCAGACTCTCTTCTTTCTCTCTCTTCCTCTTCAATGCTATTTTTGTTTCTACTTTTTTCACTATACATACGTTAATCACGATACCCTTGCTGGTTCAACTACACTTCTAAATCTGCCACCATACCACCATTGAGTTGCCATCCACACGAATCACCACCAGGCACCAACAGTCACCAAAGCCACTTTAACACCATCATGCCACCAGATCAAGTTGTTTACCACCATTGAGTTGCCATCCACACGAATCACCACCAGGCACCAACAGTCACCAAAGCCACTTTAACACCATCATGCCACCAGATCAAGTTGTTTCTGTTCATCATCACTACCGACTAACGGTCTTATATTACTAGTCGATAATGAGAATTTGCTTCATTGGGTGTCATCTTCGTGGGATTTTAATTGGGCCGAAGTCCTGTTGGACGTAGTTTTTAGATTATCTGGAGATGATTTTGGACTTTTCTGCATTCTTCCATATTTCTTTTTGTGTAATGTTTACCCTTTTTTACAATTATACTGCCTGTTCTTTTTTAAATGCTCACGCAACGAGCTGTTCTAGAGTTACTTTCTTTGGGGCTGTTTTGATGTTTTTTGATGCATATATTTTTAGTGTTACTAATCATCTCTTCTGGTAGTACAGAGCAAATCTTCTTATAGTATCCTAAAGCTCTATAGAAGGTATTGAGGGCTCACTACAATTGTATATGTGCACTTAGTATCTTGTGTTTCAATAATTATAGCTTCTCTTGTACCTACTGTATCTTTCCCTCTACAACTATATCATTCTTCTAAGAAATGGCCACCGTCAATTAATCTACCAATTTGTTCTGCAGTAACCATTGCATTTTTATGCATCTTCTTGTAGTCTATTTTTTTTCTTCTCTTTTTTCTTTCCTGGGGTTGGGGTGGTACCCAGTGACACTATACTTTTTGTCACTTAGACTACATTTAAGAATGCCCTTGCTTCTATTGAGAATTTTCTGGATAGTTTACTACTTGTTCCTTTATGAAGCTGGTCTTTCTCTGCCTTGCGCTTGTTGTGTAAGTTGATGACATCCGGTAAAGTGTATTGTCTTGTCTTCAGCAATTATTATCTGAGAAAGCTATATTCGCATAAATGACCTGATCATTTAAAGGGATGATACTATCGGGTTAGATGGTCACATGCCGTTATTGGATACATGCGAACCATAGTTATCCAAATTGTTTGATTCACTTTCGATTCGTACGGTTCGATTCGATTTAGTCCCTATTCGATTTTTCTCTTGATCTAGAATCTCTTCGGAATCTCAAGAATCGTACAATTCGAATTAAATGTTTTATCATTTTTTCAACCTTAGTTATAGTAAAATGACATCATTTTGCTAATAAAGGCCCATTGCCAAATATAAAACTTGTGTCTCTCTCTGTATTTCCCGTACAAGTGTCTGTATATCACACAAAGACGACGTCTCCTTCACTTCAGGTATGCTTCTTCTTCTTCTTCAAAAAAAAAGTTACCAAACCCTAACATATTCTATTTCTACTTCTTCTTCATCAATAAATGCTCAATTTTTTGTTTTTCATCAAATATCTATTTTTTNCGTACAAGTGTCTGTATATCACACAAAGACGACGTCTCCTTCACTTCAGGTATGCTTCTTCTTCAAAAAAAAAAAAAGTTACCAAACCCTAACATATTCTATTTCTACTTCTTCTTCTTCATCAATAAATGCTCAATTTTTTGTTTTTCATCAAATATCTATTTTTTAATCAAATGTGGGAAGTAATTTTCTAAGTTTACATGTTCTAATTAATATCAACTTTTCCTATTTTAGTTTAACTTCATTGGTAGAAAGACAATAGCTATTTGTTGCTTAAAAATTATACTTCTTTCATCGTGGCTATTTTGAGGAATCGATTTAATATGTATTAAAAAATAAGTAATAGAGGTACATACTTAAGTGTAGTTTTATAAAGATTTATAAAGGTTAACATCTTTCTATTTAGACGATGTGACCAAGTCAATATACTGACAATTGATTATTTTTAAAATACAATAATGTTCAATAGTTAATATCTCACCTATTTTAAATACGTACATGTCATTTTTTTATCATTGTTCAATTGTTATGTTGAATTTTACGATTCCCGATTCTCAATTCGAATATCGATTTGATAACTATGATGCGAACGCTAAAAGATAAACCGTTTAAAGTGATCACATCTTCATTATTGTGTAATTGTTATTACTTTTAGTTGGTGGCTATATTTTAATACCTCTAGGTGTTTTTTTTTTTTTTTTTTGCCATGTTTCCCTTTGTAAGGAGTGAGTTTTTTTTTCCTTCTTTATTTGCCACTTTTTTGTATTCGTTTGTTTGTTTGCTTTAGGGAACAAATGTTTTGTGATCTGGTTGGCCGTATAAAGATTTCATTTTGATTTTTTTATTGGTTCAAGCATCTCCCTTAATGTTTCTTTGATAGCTGAAGCTGAGACAACTAACAAAGCAAATAACGGAACACCTAAGTCTAAGCCTCGAGCTGGAAAAGTGCTATCATTGAGTGAGATCCTCTACCGTTCAGAGGCAAATAATGATGCTTCACAAGATGGTCCAAGGTCTGAACGAGAAGATTCTGACTATGATGAGGAGATGGAGTTAGATTTTGAAACGGCAATAACCGGTGATGAAGGGCATGATGTTGAGTCTAATGTTCTTCATGGAAGTTTAAATTTAAGATTTCATTGCAGAGGTGATTCAACAATGGAGACCGGCCGTGTCAATGGCTCTTGTGGCTCGCCTACGTCTTCTTGTCAAAATGATAGAGCTACTTATCAGGTATTTGTTTTGCAGTTTAATCTTGATTTCATATTCCTCTTTATGTATATCTATGAAAAGATTTTTTTTTTTTTTTTGCATTTCTTTCTTCTTTTTAATTTTTTTTGACCTTTTTGCAACGTAGTTTTGAAGGATTTTTTTTTTTTTTGGGGGGGGGGGGGATTTCACGATTTATTTACTCAAACCATATTCAGCAGTAATTGTCGATGCATGGCTGTGATAGATGTGATTTCAAACAAAAGGATTATAGATATAAGTTATAAACATTAGCCATTAGGAAAGCCAAAAAGAACAAAATACATATATTTGAAGTTTTAAATAGCCACACTATGTTAAAAAAAATGGATTACACAGACGACGGAGTTCAGTAATTGCATTACCTTGGTGATTTTTATTAAATGGAAAAAATATATGTCCAATGGGTTGCCGAAATTTTGAATATTTTCTCACTTTTTATTCTTATTAGAGTAATATTTTGTTTTGTTATTGTTATTCTGGTTTTGCAGTTTTACTAATTCTTCCTGCACGTGCAGCCTGAAGCCGTGGTAGATCTGAAGCAGAGATATGTTGGCCACTGTAATGTTGGGACTGACATAAAACAAGCCAGCTTTCTTGGCCAGAGAGGTATATATTTAATTCTGTGTGACATTCTGAAAGAGAACGCATAATAGTAGTTCTGTTTATTTGTGTCACATTTTTAGATAATAAAGTTAGTGGTGTGGTATCTCAAGAAGTTTATTGTGGTGCAATGCCCCTGCATCTCAACGCCTTGAACTGAAATTATTTTGGTAAAATTGTGAATTGGTTGGCACTACAATTACTGGACCCAACAATGTTACTTGCTAGCACCTCTTCTGTCTTGGTAAATTCATATTATTGCATACGTTTCTTCACTAACATCAGCAACATGTATTCAGGGATTTGTATTCAGGCATTCCAATAGAGTGGTGTGCGGATGGGGCTTATGCCCAACTCTTGACATTTTGAGATCTTATATCTGCTATTAACTTGAAATAGCAGAATTTATAAATGAATTTGATTGTTGGTGGCAGCATGTCTGTTTTGTAAGTCAATATCCCACTGGATTACATTTCGATGGAATTGTCTGGGAATCTCAAATCAGATAGTCATTTTCATGGGATAGAAATCATGTTTTCTTTTGTGCTCCTTTTTTTGTTTTTAGATTTTGGGGGCTTTGACCTTGAATGCATATTCTTCTGAAATTGAAAGCTAGATTTGTGGGCTTTAACATGATTGCTGACTTCATCATGATGTAAGTAAGTCATTTCATGTTGAAAGCAATATTCGTAATCTAGAATAACATTTTTCAGGCTCTCTTGCTTGTGAATCATTTTCGCTAACTTCTTCGTCTTATTGCCCCTTTCCTCCCCACCCGAATAATCATAGGAAAAGAAAAAGACAACATGTTGTCATGATACAGTCCTGTCCTTCCTCCACCCCCCGTGGCTGGCTGTCTTTTGTTTGTTTTCTATTCTTCCTTTTTTTGGTTTGTGTGAAGGGTGCTGATAGAGAGGGAAACAATGGAGATGTGAATGGGTGGGAGATTTCTGCTTTTGACGTCCCTTTGTGGAATGCATTGGAGAAGTTATGAACTTATAGAAATGAAAAACTGAGGGCTTGTTTGGAGAAGAGTTTTAGAAAAGAATGTTTTGATGTTTTCTGAGACAAATAACTTGTTTGGTTAGATGATTCTAAAACAGTTCCACAAAATAGAAAACAGTAAAACCTGTTTGGATTGACGGTTTCATATAAAAACATTTTAATATATTAAACTTGATGAACTGGAAAAAAAAAAAAGAAAGGAAAATCTAGCCACGACTGCCCATTAACTCCTATAGACCTCCAAGCAAAAAAAAAAACTCATGTAGATCATTAATGAAGAAGGAAAATCTTGAACCAGTCAAAGGAAAATCTCCACATAAGATATTGGCTCTTGAATCATACAGATCATTAATAAAGAAATCCCCCCCAAAAAAAAAACAGATCTGAATTACAACAATCCAAGGTTTGAAGCCAACCCACAATGAAAAATCATAATCAAAGACAACCATAACAAAATGATGTCTTGAATCTATTTAGGAGAGGTTCTGAGATGATGCCGCCAGATCTAACATGAATAGACCAAATATGTTCGGATCTACCACAAATTGCCGAAGATCTTGAACCAGTCACTAGAGATCTTGAAATAGTCGGAGAAGATGACCTCTAGCCACCGAAGATCTTGAACAAGTCGCTGGAGATCTTGACGCTGTGTGTGTTCGTTCCCTTTGAGAGCCGAAGTGGAGAGAGAGAAAGTCGGGGAGAGAGAAAGGCCAAAAAAAAAATCTTTTATACTCTTCTTTGGGGACATGACCTGTTTTGCAACTAAGAAGATTCGAAGGGGAGACCTTATTAATGAGACCTGATTTGCTCCGTGTTTTCTATTTTTCCTTTCTTTTGTCTCCAAAACACCCCAAAATAAGTTCAGCTTGTTCTTTAAAATTAAATCTCAGTTCTCAATTTTTTTGAAAAATTGGATAATGAAAACTCTAATCAAACAACATGTCTCTAGTTTTTATTGGTTTGAGAACAAAAAACTGTTTTTAAGATACAACCAAACAGACCCTGAAAATTTTAAGTGCAATTAACATCTCTTGGCTGATTGGATTAGAGTTTGAAATCAACCTAACTTTTTGTATGAATCTTTTGTCATGGAATGTCTCTTTGCTAATGCAGGTGACTTTGTAGCTAGTGGAAGCGATGATGGTAGATGGTTTATCTGGGAAAAGAAAACTGGTAGATTGATAAAAATGCTTAAAGGCGATGAAGCTGGTAATGCTTGTTTTCTCTGTTTGTTTCTCCACATGGAGTATGAATAATGGTGATACTTTGTAGTCTCTTCGCTATTGCCTAATATCTCATCCATCTCGATATTCAGTTGTAAACTGTGTGCAGTGCCATCCATTTGATTGTGTTGTGGCTACCAGTGGGATCGACAACACTGTAAAGGTGAGTATGTTGAAATGGATTTAAGTTACATACACCTGCCCTAGTACATTATTTTATTTTTGATGTTAATGGTTTCAGATTTGGACTCCAAGTGCTTCGGTTCCTTCCATTGTGGCTGGTGGATCAGCAGGACCAGAGACTTCAAATGTGATAGATGCCATGGAAAGCAATCAGCACAATATATGCCGTACTCGTGAAGCAATCTTGTAAGGCTCATGAATTTGCTGATTTTGTGGGGAGACACGAGTGTTCTAACATGGATCACAATGTAGAATGTTGATGATATTGAAATGAAACTCTCTCTCATTGAACAATTATGAGCTACTGAATCTTTTTTCTTATTCCCTCATAGGGGAATCTTTTTCCAAATGGGGAGGAAGAGGAGGGGGCTGGGGTTTGTTAAATCATACCTGGATTTGCTTACTGGATATAACTCGTTTGTGTTTTGGGTAGCTATGTAAATTGCATTTGATCCTCGAGTTGCTTGGACAAACATGGGCCATTGGTCGTGAACTCTGTGATATGGCGTTATTCACAACCTAATGAGCCCATCGTATGAAGAGGAAATGTACTGTAGTCTGTCGTTCAGAGAAGCTATATTGGACGCTAACCACCTTTCACCAACTTGTAACATTCATACCAAATACATTGTTGCATGGATGGAGCAGTTTTCCAAGTTACTTGTTTTCTCCAGTCTTATGGATTGTGACATTTCAAAATAAGTTGCCCCAACTCCGCGTTAAAAACACTAAATTAGAAACCAGGTTGGGAGTAAGAAAATCTGGAAAATTTGTTGAATCCTTCATTTGGGGCTAAATTAATCTTACACTTGGATACGAGGGACTTGTAGCATTTTCAGATTGTACTTTGACTAAATTGTGTAAGGACCACTTTCTTTGCCATTCCTTCTCCTCGAGCTAGTATAATCCATTTCGTAGGTATTGATATTTAAATGATGTCTCCTGTAGGCCTTTTGAAATTTTGGAGCGGTTCCGGATGCACGAGTTCAGTGAAGGATCCCTGCATCCATTTGAGTGCACACAGAGCTAGTTTTTTCCTACTGAACTGCACAGGTAACTGACTTTAAATTTAAGCAAACTCCTTTTTTTATGATCTTCTCTCAGTTTGTGATGGGTATTTATCCTTGTTGCATCTTCTTCAAGATATTTCCTCTTGGGATTCTTGTATTTCTTGTATGAATAACAATTGTTCATTACCGATGATTTCAATTTCCACAATAAATCTCATTTTTGAAGATTATATTGGAATATATCTTCACATTTAGAACCTTGTTATACTTGCAAAATTATTAGGATTTTAGATGTGAAATGTTTGACTAAACTATTTTTCATGTTCGGCCGTAAAAGTTTTAGCTGAGGCTGAAGCTGAAGCAACAGAAACTTTGTTTGATAAACGAAAAACAGTGATACTTAAAGCATGATATGTTTTTCTGTTAGGTGATTCAGATAGTCTTTTTTTTTATATAAAAGCATGCTCAAGTTGGGAAATCTCATTTGTATAAGTATCATGTTAGAAAGAATATCTTTAGTTGTTCAAAGGTTCAATGGACTGGATTCCAATCCGATCTGAATACAAATCCGTTGGCATGGATATGGATTAAAATTCTAAACCATTTTCCCTAATCTGTTACGAATTCCTAATCCAACCGGCTATTAATCCAACACGAATGTATTAAAATAATATTACATATCAATATAACATCTATTACATGTACATTGGGAAACCCATAAACTGGGGTAAACACTTCAGAATTGTGACTCACTTTTACCACTTTCTTTTTCTATCTCTTTTCCCATTTCCCTCTTTCTTTGATTTCTTCTATTCATTTCTTTTTTCCTCTTTTCTCTAGTTCCCTCTCCACATTCTTCGCATGCCTTCCTCGGTCTTGAAATATGAATGCTAGGGGCATCTCTCTCTCTCTCACCCCCCCCTAACCCACCTACCCACCCACCCAAAACTGATTGCCATCCTATCCCCCAGATCCCTTATGGTATGTTTGGTAGGAATGATGGAAAAATGACGGAATAAAAAATTCGAGGGATAGACTTTTCATCCCCAGAGCGAAGAAACATTATTTCCTTCTTTTTGTTTGGTAGAGTGGATGGAAAATTGGGAAGATTAAATTTCCATTCTTGTTTGGAATGAGGAAATGAAAATGAATGCATTAGCTGCACAAAATACTAAAATGCCCTTATATAAGAAATTAATATTTTATTGGGTGATTTAGTTGAATCCAGTTCATAAAATTTCAAATCCATGAGGACCCCACTTGTTAATTTGTGAAAAAAAAGTGGCAGGAATTGAAAAAAGAAAGAATAGACAAGCTTGGTAGACAAGTAACAACTGGACAAAAGTAAATTCAACTGCTCCTATCCCTGCTCTCCATTTTACATCTAGTTTTCCTCCCAAAATTTGAGCGGGTTGAAAACTGGCGGCAAATAGATACTCTTGACTCATGAAACCCTTCCTTAGCCCCTCTCCCACGTATCCCTCTCCACTGATCTGATTCGATGTAATGTCAAGCAAGCCATAGATGATCTGACGTATGGGCGACTGTGGGTGAATTTTTGGCGACAAGCAAGCTCATCGATCCATTGGCTGTAACAATTGTTTGGCTCAAATCTGATTGTTGATTCTATATGTATTTGGCTAAAATTGTTTGATTATTTGGTGATATTGTGGCTAAGTTAGGTTTTATGTAATTGATGAAATTGAATCCAAATTGAACTGAAATGAAGAGGATTATTGAAAGTTGATGAATTCGGACATGGATTAAAATTTTCAAATCCAACAGTGAATTGGATTGGATTGAGTAAGATTTAATCGGATTTGGATACAGATATATTACAATCCAATTAGCCACACCAAATACACTCTCTCACAAGGTAGGTTGTCAATGATGGTTTTGGTATCTGTCCAAGCAGCTTCGATGTCGGATGCTAAAATTAATGCTTATTTACTTCAGGTTACATTCCATTTTATGTGATATCGAACCTGAATACACTACGTTAAGCTTCTCAATACATTGTGGACTTAAAATTTATGTCAATTTTCTAAGTAACCTCTAGATCATTTGCTTTGTTTATGTTGCAATACAAAAATAATTGTGTTAAAAGTTTAAAATAATTCTTTGGAAGACTTATGACATAATCTATGTCATTGTTTTTGTTAGAAAATTTTACATGACATTCCCAAACCTGTGAGGAATAACAAATAGAGAAAACGCACGCCAAAGAAAAGCAATCACATACAAAAGACAGTATTTATGTGGTTCGGCAATTTGTCTATGTTCACGAAGTTGCAGGGATTACACTATTGAGAAGAAGGAATATAGTGGGCGGCTATGCAGTACAAATCAAAACCTAATCACCAACATAGCAGTTTTTATATATCCTGCGCACCGGGACTAAGCTTTAGAAAATTTTTCATTAAAAATCACGCAACATTATTTCGGGTCAGGTTATCATCCGGAGTAACACAAAACTAAATTCCACAAAAAATCCAACAAATCTCCCACTTGAAGACTAGTTCAATCACCAAAATCAACCGCAATCCTCCCAAAAAAAAAAACAGTCTCTCACCCCAGCAACTCATCCTTCTGTCCTCAAGCTGAAATCCACAGAAGCTGAACAAGACTTCAACTTCTTCACAGTAACCACTTTCGTGAACATGTCTGCTGGATTATCCCTTGTGTGANGATTCCACAAAAAATTCAACAAATCTCCCACTTGAAGACTAGTTCAATCACCAAAATCAACCGCAATCCTCCCAAAAAAAAACAGTCTCTCACCCTAGCAACTCATCCTTCTGTCCTCAAGCTGAAATCCACAGAAGCTGAACAAGACTTTAACTTCTTCACAGTAACCACTTTCGTGAACATGTCTGCTGGATTATCCCTTGTGTGAATTTTTTTCAAAGTAAACTATCCATCCTCTAACAAAGAGTGAATAAAGTGATACTTTAGATCGATATGCTTGGTCCTCGAATGAAAGGCTGCATTCTTCGCCAGATGTAACACACTCTGACTATCGCTGAACAATTTAGAATTGTCTTGCTCCTTAGCTAACTCTTCATGAAGCTCCTCAACCATGTCATCTCCTTGCACGCTTCGTGGCTGCAACATACTCTGTCTCTATTGTTGAAATAGTCATTATTTTCTGTAGGCTTGAGACTCAACTGATTGCTGCAGTGTCCAATGTAAAAACATACCCTGTAGTGCTATTCCTGCTATCAATGTCCCTTGCTAAATCAGAATCTACAAATCCTTACCAACAAATATCAGAACCCCCAAAATTCAAAGCCGAATCTGAAGTAATACTCAAGTAGCGCAAAATCCACTTGACTGCTTCCCAATGCTCTTTGCCTGGATTTGCCGTGAACCTGCTGACAACTCCCACTCTATGAGCAATATCTGGTTTTGTATTAACCATGACATACATCAAACTGCCTACCGCCGAGACATATGGAACTTTTGTCATATAGTTTTGTTCTTCATCTATTACTGCACACTTTTTCTTCGAAAGCTTGAAGTGACTTCCCCAAGGTGTTCTAACTAGCTTTAGCACTCTCCATGTTGAACCTTTTTAGCACCTTTTCAACATATTCCTCCTGTGACAACTTCAACTTCTTGTTTGCCCTATCCCTACTAATTTGCATGCTAAGAATTTTCTTCGCAGAGCCCAAATCCTTCATTGCAAACTCTTTTGACAACTGTGCCTTGAGATTAACAATCTCATCTATGCTTGAACTTGCAACAAGCATATCATCTACATACAACAAAAGTATGAGTTATGATGTACTAAGCTTCTTAAAATAACAATGGTCCCCATGACATTTACTAAACCCCGTAGCTTCCATAAAGGTGTCAAACTTTTCATAGCATTGCCTTGAAGCCTGTTTCAACCCATACAGACTCTTCCTCAGCTTGTATACCTGATTTTCCTTGTCTTTCACAACATAACCCTCTGGCTAATACATATAAATGTCTTCCTCTAAGTCCCCATGATGGAAAACAATTTTAACATCCAACTGCTTTAAATGTAGGTTCTCAACAGCCACAATATTAAGGACACATCTGATAGTTAAAATCTTAACAACAGGGAAAAAAATTTCAGTGTAGTCTATACCTTGTGTTCTGCTCAAAACCTTTGACTACCAACATTGCCTTGTACCATTTACTCCCATAAGATTTTTTTTTAATCCTGTAAACCCACTTGTTGTGCAAAGCTCTCTTCCCCTCAGACAATTGAACTAATTCCCAAGTCTTGATTAGATGAGAGAAAATTCATCTCATCATTCATCGCACGCTCCCACTCCTTTTTGGACTCATCCAGCAATGGTTCCTCAAAACATCTTGGTTCACCGCTATCAGTTAACAACAAATAATGCAAAGATAGAGAATAACGTACCAGAGGTTTTACCGTACGTGTAGTCCTNTGCATTATTTTCATCCCTTTTTTCGCTCATGTGACCTAGTCTATGATGCCACGTAGTGCAATCAATCTTTGATGCTGCCACCGTGATACTACCATAAGTACTCGAAGACATAGTTATTAGTATCGTATGATACGTCACGATACATAGGTAAAACGATACGAATCGGAGTTTTGTATCGTTTTTGCATAGTATCGTCCGATACACGATACGTATCGATCAATACAAACGATACGCAAAGCCTCATAGAATAGAGAAAATGCCAAAGAAAAGGCAANACATACCCTGTAGTGCTATTCCTGCTATCAATGTCCCTTGCTAAATCAGAATCTACAAATCCTTACCAACAAATATCAGAACCCCCAAAATTCAAAGCCGAATCTGAAGTAATACTCAAGTAGCGCAAAATCCACTTGACTGCTTCCCAATGCTCTTTGCCTGGATTTGCCGTGAACCTGCTGACAACTCCCACTCTATGAGCAATATCTGGTTTTGTATTAACCATGACATACATCAAACTGCCTACCGCCGAGACATATGGAACTTTTGTCATATAGTTTTGTTCTTCATCTATTACTGCACACTTTTTCTTCGAAAGCTTGAAGTGACTTCCCAAAGG